CTTTTCGGAGCCGGATCTATTGACAAACAAGTGAGAAATTTTGCTATATTTAATACGATTGTTCGACGATTTCAAAATGGCGTCAACTAAGACAAACATGGCCGAAGGGCAGGAAAAAGACATTTCTGAGACAACGACAACTATGCAAGCTGACCTTATTGACCAAGAAAGCGTTAAAAGTGGAAGTACCGTAAGTACAAAGATTCAAAGTCTACGAAATAATAAGAAATTAGCCAAAAGTAGAATGACTAAAGCCAAAAAACAGTTGAGTGACCTTATTGAAAATCGACCACAAGATGTGGCACTACCTAGCAAGAATGCTGTAAGAAGAGCCGTACATAAAATTAATTCTGAGATGAATATTATTACGAAGATTATCGATAGTTTGAAAGGAGTGTATGCCATGACTGAGCACAATGAAGAGACTAATATAATACAGTAATATATACATTAGACAAAGAGTTAGAGGACATTGGATATTCAGTTGATGTAATTATTGAAGGAGCAGAAAAACATATAGAAGATAGAATTAATGCAAGGGAGACCGAGTCAGTATTACTTTCACTTAAATCGCATGTTAGTGTGGATAAAGATTCAGTACCCTCCAATGTAACCCCCAATGTACCCTCCAATGTACCCCCAATGTACCCTCCAATGTACCCCCAATGTACCCTCCAATGTACCCTCCAATGCACCCTCCAATGTACCCCCCAAAGTACCCTCCAATTTACCCTCCAATGTACCCCCAATGTACCCTCCAATGTGCCCCCCAATGTACTTTCCAAAGTACCCTCCAATGTACACCCCAATGTGCCCTCCAATGTACCCCCCAATGTACCCTCCAAAGTACCCCCCAATATACCTTCAACAACACCTTCACATGTAGAGCAGAAACAATTAGAAGCTAAGAATTCGAATGACAGATTGAACAACAGAAAGAACAACAGATGAGAAAATTAGCAGCTGAACTCGAACTCACCAAGCAGCGAACAGAGGAAGCAAGAAAAGTAGCTGAGCTCAATAATTCACGGGCAGAAAATGCGGAACGACAACTAGTCGAAGATTGTGATACTGTAAAGGATTTTCTTACGAAACATAATTTTACAACAGGATCGCCTGAGGGAGTACCAGTTGAAACAATAACCCGATCACCCATCAAGTTGAAAGGAGTCGACCTTCCAAAGTTTTCTGGAGAGGATAAAACCAATTATGAGCCCTGGAAGGCAGCATTTATGGCAATGGTTGATGTGCAGAACATTCCAGTTGGTGAAAAAATTCTCAGGTTACAAAGCTGTTTAGCTGGTAAAGCACTGACCTTGGTGAAAGATTTGGGATATTCAAGCGCTGCATACGAACGAGCAAAGTCGAAGTTAGAGAAGAGGTATGGGGGAGAGAGACGAGAACAAATAAAGCAGCTTAAAACTTTGCGTAATTGGCCTAAGGTTCGGTCCCACAATTTACAAGACTTGGAAGAATTTCAAGCCCTACTAGAGAGAATTTTGATCACTATCAACAATTGTGGATCCTTACAAGATCAAAGCCTGAACTTATCAGCAAAAGAAAAGCTAACCGAACGGGATGTTGAAGCGTATAAATACTGCTTGATAGACTATGCTCGAGAAGATTGCTTTGAATCGCTGGTAGACTTGGTGGAACTCCGAGTGCAAGTCATTGGGGAAGCGAGAGAGGAGACTGAAGGATTTGGTAAGAAGAATGAGGAACGGGGTAACAAGAATCGTGATGAACGACCGCGTTTCCGAGGATTCAACACACGATTTTCAACCAGACATTGTATTGTTAGCACATGCAAACAAGACCATCCACCATGGGTTTGTGATGCTTTCAAGAGACTCCCTGTACAGAAGAGAAAGGAATTAATTTCAAAAAGCAGCCGTTGTTATCGGTGCCTGGCAGCTGGGCATCACAGCAAAGATTGTCGTAAAGCACGAAAATGCGGAGTTGACGGATGCCAGAGCAACAACCATAGCAGTTATCTTCATGAAAGCACCCCACAGAATGGAAAAACAAATGCTAGACAGCAGTTAGAACCAGATGCGCCAACCTTCTATCCAAGACAGCCACCAGCTCAAGAAGCAAGAACCGAACAGTCTGGTAGAATGGACATCAATAACCAACAGAGAGACGAATCATCCACGCAAGAGAGAACTCACAAAACGAGTAAGTCTGATAATGTTTCATTAATGGTTCTTCCAGCCATTATCAGCGATGGTCAGAAGAAGTTGAAAGTCAATGTAATGTTAGATCCATGTTCAACAAGTTCTTATATTTCGGAACATGCTGCAGGAGAGCTGGAGCTGCAAGGGCAATCGTTAAACCTGACAATTGCAGGAACAGGCGGAACAGAGATTCAGAAACGGTCAAGACGTGTGGAACTGTCAGTGACTAGTCTCAATGGGACATTCACAGCACCCTTGCAAGCACACGTATTAGACAACATCGCCAGTGACACGCCAGCATTTCAGTGGTCAGAATTGAAAGAAAAATGGCCACATCTACGCCAAGTCCCATTTGAGAATGTATCCAGACGACGTTACATCGATGTCATGATTGGCAGTGACCATCCACTGTTTCATTTGGTGTTAAAGGAAATTCATGGTAGTCGACATAACGATCCAATAGCACGATTGACAAACCTTGGCTGGGTATGCTTTGGTCCTACATTAGTGAAGGAATTCCGTCAGAAATCCCAGTCTCACTTTACTCGGACATACCGCAGCAACCAAGTGAGCAAGCAACCACCACCCGATGACATTCTGAGAAAGTTCTGGGAACTTGAGTCAATAGGGATCAAGGAAGAATCAGGCAAGCAGATGACAGTCGAAGAAAAGGCAGCAATGACAAAAGTCGCTGAGACCCTTACCTTTGAGAATGGGCGATACACGGTGGGAATTCCATGGAGAGAAGGCGAACCAAAGTTGGGAAACAGTTACGAAGCGGCTTTGGTACGACTCAAAAGTCAGGAAAAATCTCTAAAAAGAAAAGGCCCGGACATTATGAAAGCCTACAGTCATGTCTTTGAAGAGTATGAGAAGAAAGATTACATAAAGGAGGTACCAAAATCCGAGACAAAGGAGCAATGGTTCCTTCCGCATTTCCCCGTTATTAGACTTGATAAAGATACGACGAAGGTCCGTGTGGTGTTCGATGCTGCGATGAAACACGAAGGCAAAAGTTTGAATGATGCAATACGACCAGGTCCCAAGCTGCAAAGAGAGGTTGTGGATGTTCTTACACGTTTCCGTAGAGCCCCAGTAGCCCTTACTGCCGATATTTCCGAAATGTTTTTACAAGTTGGTCTCCGGGAACAAGACCGTCCATATCATAGGTTCCTGTGGCGAGATTTTGATACATCGAAAGAGCCTAACGTCTATGAGTTTTCGCGATTGTTGTTTGGCAACACGGCATCACCATTCTGCTCACAGTACGTTCTCCATACCCACGCACAAGCCCACAAAACAGAATATCCGGAGGCAGCCGAATCCGTTGACAATTCCATGTATGTTGATGATTTATTAGATTCTAGCGAAACCGTGGAGAGTGCACAAAATTTGCAACGTCAATTGTCCGACATGTTAGCCATAGCTGGATTCAACTTGCGAAAGTGGTCATCAAATGAGGCAGCAGTAATAGAAAACATTCCCGTGGGCGATCGTCTACCTGCAATCGAGATCAACAACGGAGAGCTTGCTAAAACCAAGACCTTAGGAGTTACGTGGGAAGCAGCGAGAGACGTTTTTCTATTCCAAACCAAGCAACCTGATATGAGTGTCAATCCTACCAAACGAAACGTTCTAAGTGCAATAGCCGCCCTATATGACCCACTTCAGTTCCTGGCACCATTCGTGATCCGCGCCAAGATTATCATGCAAGAAATATGGACAGCAGGATTAGATTGGGACGATGTCTTACCTAGTAATCTTAGCACGAAATGGGAAAACTGGGTATCTGAACTCCAGAGCTTATCGTGCGTTGCCATTCCACGATGTTTACGCCTACCAAACCCAAAGACGGTTGACCTACACCTCTTTTCCGACGCATCTAAAGATGCTTATGCCTCCGTTGCCTATTTGGTTTGTCAGTACACCAACAACCCCTCCACTTCGCGTCTCATTGCGTCAAAGAGCCGTGTGTCACCTTTGAAAGTGGTGACAATTCCCCGCCTAGAGCTAATGGGAGCTGTTCTTTCAAGCCGTCTAGCCGCAAGTATCCTAAACGTGTTAACCGTAGACAGAGTGATCTATTGGACAGACTCAGAAAATGTGTATTACTGGGTACGTAACCAGAGTCGCGAATTTAAACCGTTCGTAGCTAATCGAATTGGGGAAATTCAGCGTACAACAAGTCCAGAACAGTGGCGGCACGTACCGGGAACGGAGAATCCAGCAGATTTACCAACCAGAGGTTTATCAGTGGCAGACCTTAGTGAGAACAAATTTTGGATGGAAGGACCATCATTCCTAAAAGACGGTGAAAGTGCTTGGCCAACCACACCTAGTAAAGACGTACAGAAATCTGACCAGTGTGAAAGGCGATCAACCACGAAGACATATGCAACTAAGAACTATGAATTTAGTAGCATTGATCCTACACACTTCTCAAGCCTCAAACGTCTATATCGTGTGACCGGTTGGATTAAGCGGTTCATCGCCAATTGTAAGATTCGTGGGAAATCTGGACGAAACTATGAAAGAACACTTTCTTCTGCTGAGGTCTCTGGTGCTGAGACGTTTTGGATCAAACACACGCAAACAGAAGCTTTTCCTAAAGGCATAAATGAAAAGTCCCTAGCCCAATTAAACCCGACAAAAGATGATAATGACCTACTTCGTATTAATGGACGCTTACGTCTGGCTGAAGACATCCCATACGACACAAAGTATCCTATCCTCCTGCCAAAGAATCACTACCTCACACGCCTTGTAGTTCTTGATGCACATGAGACACTTGGCCATGGGTCTGGTATAGAACATACTTTAACACAATTGTGAGTGCGATTTTGGATTGTGAAAGGACGGCGTGTAGTACGGAACATCATCAAGTCTTGTCCAGAATGCCGACGAAGATTTTCTATGCAAACAGCCGGACAAATGATGGCCCCTTTACCTAGGGCGAGATTGTATTCGTTGCGAGCCTTCGACAGAATTTTAATCGATTATGCAGGTCCTTTTTTAACAAAACAAGGACGTGGTAAGATCAGAGCGAAACGCTACTTGTGCCTGTTCACCTGCTTAGCAACGAGGGCAGTCCATCTGGAAATGTCGTATTCATTAGATACGGACTCGTTTATCAACGCGTTTACCCGTATGTCTTCCAGGAGGGGGACGCCTACCTATGTTCTCACAGACAATGGCACGAACTTTGTTGGTGCAGAACGTGAAATGCGAGAACTGATTGAAGCCCTCGACCACGACAAGATCATTCAAGGTACCAGCAAGCATCATCCCGTCGACTGGAAGTTTAATCCTCCATCTGCTCCTCATTTTGGCGGAGTCTTTGAGGCGATGATTAAAAGTGCGAAGAAAGCAATCAAAGCCATATTGGGAGATGCAGATATCACAGACGAGGAACTACACACAGCCATATGCGGAGCTGAACGACTGTTGAATTCCAGACCAATCACATACGTTAGCTCAGATCCCAACGATCTCTCACCACTTACACCGAATCATTTCCTCGTTGGACAAATTGGAGGATCATTCGCCCCAGAAGCACTGGACAAAACAGAAGTGTACAACCCAAGAAAACGATGGCATCGCGTGCAACAACTGCTGCAACAATTCTGGAAACGATGGAGAAAAGAATTTCTTCCGCGTCTCAACGTCAGAAGAAAATGGTTTCATCCTAAACACAATTTAAAGGAAGGAGACGTAGTGCTGATTGCAGAACCTAAGGACAACCGCGGAGAATGGCCTCTCGGTCGTGTAATGGAAACCTATCCTGGTGCAGACGGCCTTGTGAGAGCTGTGAAAGTGCAGTCAAAGAGCAAAGAGTATATTAGACCTGTACATCGCCTGTGTCCCCTTGAGTATATCGAAGAACAGTCGGACAGTGACGACACTAGTGCATGATAGACAGTGATCAATAGTTCACAACCTTATTGTATTCTATAGTTATATGCGCATACTTGGTATTGAACAGACGTTCGCAGACTTAAATTTATGTTCATGTTAACCTTATTCCGAATGCATTGCATTCGGGAGGGGGATGTTAAGAAACGAATCGTTCCCTGTAATATAAAGTAAAAACATATATAACCGCTGCGCTTGCGTAATGCGGGCGTCTTTTAGTGTTGATTTTAAGACAGCGTGTTTTGTATTTTTAAATCGGTAAGAAATAAAGAGTTATTTGACAATTATAAAGAGAATCTGCCTTGTATACAGACTATTTAACGACCGTTCTAACAGACGAGAACACTATATGTTTAAATTGTAACTCTTGTCGAAGTTTGACCAATGTTATCAACTGTTGTTTTTAGATATCTGTATGCAACCTATATGTTAAAAGGGCCCGCAGTAGTTGGTTTTAACTGTTGTGGTGTCCCCGCGATTGGTCACTTGTATAGTTTGTATTTGTATTGTATCCATGTCACTCGTGTAATTTTACCTGGCGAAGTTAAATAAATAAATAAATAAATAAGTTTTCGGCTTTCATTTTCGGGCGTACTTGAGTATCCTTGAGTGAATTAAATATCAATATGTTCTTCCGTCCATTTGCCTCGAAAAATATTGAGAAATTGCAAACGAATATCAATGGATACGAGCTATCTAATTATAAATATCCTCTTAATTTGCAACATTTCTTGATAAAAATTACTCTATTGAACTTCGATATTCAGATTATGAAGACTCATTTCAATTTCTTTCACATTCCCGCCGATTTCAAGTTAAAAAAAGGTCAAACAGCTAGTTTAGTTCAAAAACCATACTTCCTCGCATTATCTGGCAGAGCCTCCCCAATTTCATTTCAATCTTCCCATCACACCGCGCGCGCTCACTTTTATTCAGGAAACTTTATGTAAGTCATTTGTAAATACTTAAGGAGGCTCTGCGGAGGAGAAAGTGTGCAATTGTTAATCCTGAGGATGACTACAAACTAGTTGAAACGTTAATTAAAAATCAAAATGTTGTTCGGTGTTACTGTTATTTTGTATCTGTTAACATATTTGACGCTATTACGGAAACAAAATAAATATTTAATATTTCTCCGGCAAATGTCCAAATCCATTCCAAAAACTTATATGAGAATGGATTGCTGTAAGTGCGGCATTTTTGAGAAAATATTTCCAGTTAACCATGCGCAAATTTATGCCGGCTTGCTTTCGATCGAGAGAAAATTGCAATCACAATTTTTCCATCAATCCATTGTTTCCGCCCAGGATTGAACTGTGGATCTTGCGTGTGTTAGGCGCACGTGATGACCACTAAGCTACGGAAACCTGCATACCGAAAGATGTTCGGCGATGGGTAACGATTGTTGAGTTAGTTCCAGTCGGATATATTTTTCTGGTTTAAATGAAATATTTTTTCTCCATTATTAAGAAAGTAAAATGACGTAAATTATAGTAGGCACAAAGGTTGCGGGCTGTCAGGAAGGCCGAGCTGTTTAAGGCGCCAGACTCAAATTTCCAAACTTGCTCCGCTAATGCGCAGCCAAAGGGCGTTCTTGTCCACTAATGTGGGCGAGGGTTCGAATCCCGCTCCTGACAGAAAATTTTAATATTATTTCGTTAGGCCGTTGAATATAATCCTGAGGATGAGTACAAACTAGTCGAAACGTTGATGAAAAATCAAAATGTTACTATTATTGTTATATATACTGTACGGAGTTACTGTAATTTTGTATTTTGTTAACATATTTGACGCTATTACGGAAACAAAATAAGTATTTAATATTTCTCCAGCAAGTGTCCAAATCCATTCCAAAGACTTATATGAGCATGGATTGCTGTAAGTGCGGCATTTTTAAGAAAATATTTCCAGTTAACTATGCGCAAATTTACACCTGCTCGCTTTCGATCGATAGAAAATTGTAATCAGAATTTTCCCATCAATCCATTGTTTTCGCACATAATCGATCTGGGGATGTTGCGCGTGTTAGGCGCACGTGATGACCACTACACTACGGAAACCTGCATGCCGAAAGATGTTCTGCGGTGATTACTTCATTCTCTGGTGTGGAAATTTTACGAGGGAGAAAACTGCTCGATAGATCTTGCATAATCGCTGTCTAGTTCCATTTAATTCTTAAATAATTAAACGCTATAATCAGCTAAAACATTTCTTCGTGGTGTCAGTTTGCAGCAGCACATGGACAATGAATCTTGCGTTCTCCCCGTCACTTAATCTTGAGCTCAATCGCGGACAACAGATGTCATATTTATTGCTTCCTTAAATATTGGGCGGTACCGCAGATCTTGACTGCCCGTCAATGGATTAATCAGTGTTTAGCATGAAACAGATTTTAGGGAAGATTACGCTAGAACAAGTAATAAATAATGCGCAAGTTCTTCTCTCTTCGATTGGAAAACGGGGGGAAATGGCAGGAATAGAAGGAAGAGTTGGTTTGTTCAAGCCGTATCGCGCGTCACAAATTAACGGTCTATAACAATTGGTTTACCTTTTCACAATCGATCATCGTTTACCTTTTCACAATCGATCAGCCTTGTTCCGCAACATATTTAGTATGTTTCGCCAAGGTTCGTACTGGGGACCTTGCGCCTGCGGAGCGCACGTGATGACCACTACACTACAGAAACTTGCATGGTGAAGCGCGAGTTCTGTCCGTTGCGGAATTTTGCTCATTTCATTTTGTGTAATGCATGTTTCTGCCCAGGATTGTACTGGGGACCTTGCTTGCGTAAAGCGCATGTGATGACCGCTACACTACAGAAACAAGCGCATCTTCGGACCCTTTGCAAACTTCCCCAGTATCAAACGTTCAAAATTAACAGAAAATTCTTTCATTTGAAGCTGCCGCATAAGTCCATTTGGATTCTTCTCTTGAAACAACAGAAGAAGCACTGACGTGCGATGTGAGTAACCATTGTTGACTTAGTTCCAGCCGGATATATTTTTCTGGTTTCAATGAAATATTTTTTCTCCATTATTAAGTGGCTGTCTCGCTAACAGCGGTCCGTCGAACTTCGCTTCAGAAAACAAATTTCTCTGAAACTTGGCACATCAAAAGGGTTTGGTAATCTTTTTGGAAATCTTTTTTTTTCGCTTTCCTAGAAGCTCAAACTTACTTGTGCCGAGCCGGTTCATTTGGTCAACCCTTTCAAGGCCGAAATTTCGCAATATTTAGGACTGCACCGTATCAAAACTAAACACGCTGGCAAAACGTTTTATTCGCCATTTGTTTTATTTATCTTTACTTATAAAGACGTACAAATGTCAAATTCATTGATTGCTTAGTTGATAAGATATCATCCTTGAAAGACACCCCTCTGTGTAGGTTGCGGAAGTGCACTAAATTATAACAAAGTTCGGAAGCAAAATTCGCGTTTGTTCGACCAAAATTAAAATAAAAAATTACATCCATATGCAGATGATGACTTTATCTCCAAGGTTCTAAAGTCAAACCTTCGGGTATGCCGTTGTGTGCGAAGCGGCGAGAAGGTCAATTTGGACAAGTTCGCGCTTTGTTTACATAAAATATTAACACTTCGTATTCCGCACTGAAATTCATCAATTGTTCGCCTAAGAACTGCTCCCGGCTCGAATTATTCCCAGAATTGTTCCTTAATTTCACCTAAACAAAGATACATGAATGATCTACGCAAGTTTATATGAAAATGTACATAACCAAATTTTAGCTAGTTGTAATTTTGAGCTGTTCTGCAGTGGAAACCCCACACAGTCATAAGCACGCCGCTAGACAGGAAGAGCAAAATGAATTATACTTTTTGATCTCTTTCATGTTTGTTGAATAAACTCTGAATATTTAGTATATATACCAAAACAATTCGTGGGAAATGGGATCCCATATTCTCTTGCATAGAACCGGGGGGTAAAATTGTTTTGCGTGCGTATTAAAGCCGCCATTCTTTATTAAAAAAATAACACCTAAAAATATCCAAAAGACCTAAATTCTGAAATGTAAAAACTATCGGCTATATGCAGTTAACTAACTTTATCAAGGAAACCGTAACAGCCAAAAATAACTTCTAGTCAGTGTTATAGGACTTGTAACGCGAAATCGTTGAGGTTTTAAAGGGAAGCGTTGCGTGACTGACGCTAGAAACAGTTGCTGGGAGGCTAGTCAGAACCCGGCTCTCGTTGAAATAAATCACGTTGTCCTTGTTTGCCTCACCGCTCGCCTGATATATTTGACGAGAGGGAATTTGGGTGGTATTCAGTACCGAAATACCGCAAGCAAATTTTGTCAATAACCGCAGTTTTTGATTCCAAAATTGCAAATACCGTGTAAAGCAAGATCTCCAATATCGCAGTACCGCAATTTTTCAAGGAAAATACCGAAATACCGTCAAAAAAATAAGCTAATACCGCCATACCTTAAATCTCAATGTCCCCCCCCCCCCTTTGGCCACTTTGCGCTTTTTTTTCCAGAAGTGCTCTACAAGTGGTCGACAATTCGACATAGATTGGCTGCTTATGTCGTAGAAAAATTTCCTAAAAAAAACAACCGTCCCTTTAAAATGTTGGCAATAGCTCTCTCGGTTCTTTCTACAAGCTGTATGCCCTAAGGAAAAAATGTCCAAATTACACTTTGTCGTATGTATTTTAAGTCGTAAGATTAATTATTTATTCATTATTCATATCTTTTTCGTTACTATACATGAGTTATTTTATGCACTACGTATTTTAGGCGCGGCCATTTGAAAGGGTCTAGGAGATGGTCTAGAAATCATTTTGTGCCAATACAAGGCTTTTTGTATCTGCGCGTAGCGCTAGATACTATGCTATTGAATTGTGTGTGAGTGTGTGTTAAAAACGCAGATTGACTAATTAGGGTTGTACGCCTGCGAACATGCAGTAAAACAAATATGTCGGCTTTTCGCAGATGCATGTACGCCAAGCGTACCTATTTTTTTTAGGGTGGCTGTATTGCATATCAAATATTGGTCTCTGCAGTAATCTTCCCCAGAAACTAAGAAGAAAATAAAAATACCACGCATGCGCAGGATGCAGTATTGCCATTCTTGAGCCAAGAGATCCATTTTAGGGCAGTTCGTTGATTGACTGATACGACACTCATGCCTAACATAAAATAAGCTTTAATTATATGGTTTTCCAAAAGCTGATCTGACTAAATAACAGCAAGATTTGTTTGTTAGTTGTAATTTCAAATTTATCTTTTACGCATGCGTCATGAGCGGGGGGGGGGGCTCTGGGTTCGAGAATAGAGTATTACATACTATACGAAACATTTTGTATTTTTAAATATCTGGTGCTTGATTTTCGGCATTTTTAGACACAATTTTTTTCATGTAATTCATCCGCTAGCCAAAGATTTGGTCACGGGAATACTAAAATACTATTCTTAACTATGTTATTATTCCCTTTTTTGCTTATATTTTCACCTTCACTGGAAGGGGGGGGGGGGACATAGGTCATTGAAGGGGCCAATCTCGTACCTAGAGTATACCCGTTCGCAGGTTAGGTGCTCATGGCCAGCACCTAACCTGCGAACGGGAAAACTCTGGGTACGAGATTGCGAAAGGGCCAGAAAAGGGGCTCAAAGTGGGGGGGCGGGGGGTGGAGTCCCCACAAGTCTATGTTATTAAAGCGTCCTGTATTTGGGAGAGAACTTTAAGTGCTTCTTCCTCCCTATTGTTCTCCTCCAATCTCGCCAGCTCTTCCTGAAGCAACTCCTCGTTGAGTCATAGCTTACTGGCTGATTCATAGCTTACTCAGAGCTGTAACTTTACTTTTTGGACCGCTTGCCCTCCGGGCAAGTTGGACATGAAAAGTAGTTGCCCTTAATAAAATTCACTTGCCATCAGACAATGGCCACTGGAGTACCTACAATCGCGTGCAAAATTAATGAGACTTTTCACATTTTTGGCCATTTTAAAGTACGTCGGCCTCCCCTTTGCCCCCATGATCAATGTTGGAAAAAGTGGGTTGAATTTCTCTTTTCAGTCATCCACACAACATTGAACTGGGCGTGAGGTGGGCATTTATGCAGTTGTCTCAATAATTCTTGCTCCCGATTGTAGGTAGGGGGTATAAATTTAGGGGACAACATGTCGACCCGTTCTTCCGCTGCTCTATATGGCTATTTTATACTGCCTCAGATTTAGTTTGGCCCACTAAAAACAATATTTAAAATCAAGTACATGCACTATAAAAAAAAATTATCCGACAATGAAATCATAAACTTAAAGATGCCCAGCTTTTTTTTGGCAAGGCAACTTGCCCAATCGGGCAAGCAAGATAAAACGTTTACTTGCCCGTCATGATATTCACTTGCCCCGGGCAAGTTGTAAGTTACACCTCTGCTTACTCGTTCTCTACCATTTGTCACGTTGCAATGCATTTATCTAGCTAATTTGAATATGAAGATGCTAGAGGAGCAATATCAAGCCAAATTTTGGTGAGAAAATCAGGATTAGGTTAGAAGATTTAGGTTAGGAGAAAAACACCTCGCGTTGTTATTGTTTTAGATCAAATCACTTGCCCCGGGCAAGTTGTAAGTTACACCTCTGCTTACTCGTTCTCTACCATTTGTCACGTTGCAATGCATTTATCTAGCTAATTTGAATATGAAGATGCTAGAGGAGCAATATCAAGCCAAATTTTGGTGAGAAAATCAGGATTAGGTTAGAAGATTTAGGTTAGGAGAAAAACACCTCGCGTTGTTATTGTTTTAGATCAAATCACTTGCCCCGGGCAAGTTGTAAGTTACACCTCTGCTTACTCGTTCTCTACCATTTGTCACGTTGCAATGCATTTATCTAGCTAATTTGAATATGAAGATGCTAGAGGAGCAATATCAAGCCAAATTTTGGTGAGAAAATCAGGATTAGGTTAGAAGATTTAGGTTAGGAGAAAAACACCTCGCGTTGTTATTGTTTTAGATCAAATCACTTGCCCCGGGCAAGTTGTAAGTTACACCTCTGCTTACTCGTTCTCTACCATTTGTCACGTTGCAATGCATTTATCTAGCTAATTTGAATATGAAGATGCTAGAGGAGCAATATCAAGCCAAATTTTGGTGAGAAAATCAGGATTAGGTTAGAAGATTTAGGTTAGGAGAAAAACACCTCGCGTTGTTATTGTTTTAGATCAAATCACTTGCCCCGGGCAAGTTGTAAGTTACACCTCTGCTTACTCGTTCTCTACCATTTGTCACGTTGCAATGCATTTATCTAGCTAATTTGAATATGAAGATGCTAGAGGAGCAATATCAAGCCAAATTTTGGTGAGAAAATCAGGATTAGGTTAGGAGATTTAGGTTAGGAGAAAAACACCTCGCGTTGTTATTGTTTTAGATCAAAGACGGCTACGCCGATGCATTTACTTATAGACGTCGACTTTTATGCTGGTGCATGCTGCAATCAGAGGCATAGCGAAGGCTATGTGCTTGGGGGGGG